AATGAACTTGTCGGTGAGTATTTGTCGGTAAAATGTTATGTCGGTGAAGTGATTGTCGGCGAAATAATACGAACCCGTGAATATCAAATTATCTTAACTGTTGCAAAGGTTTTAAAGAATAACGTGATAATTCTGTAATGAGGTTGCCTAAAATAAGTAAAGGTACTTGACTCAATCTATACATGTTATATATAGTATATATATTACCATATAAGCGCGAAGTAACGCGCCTCTGCGCGTTATTTATCCATCTGTGAGTTATTTTGAGAAGCCATATGCGTTATTTCAAAATAAAGGGTTAGTTTTTTTAACCCGATGTACTGTACACACATTAAATCCGCCAAGTTATATGTTATACAAGATGCGCGTTATTTCGGAACGCCGTGAGCTATTTTGAGATATTTAAAGATCGATCGCAACTTTCGAAATAACGTCCACGAACGTTATTCGCGCTTACACGATAATACTTCATAGATTATAATATTATAGAAATTTGAAACTTGTTACATTCTAGAGTTAATGGTGGTCACTAAAGTGTCCAGGATTCTGTGATTTTATCAGCTATTTTACCATTAGTATTAAGGTTAGAAATAACAAGTTATGGTTTATATCAAATTTCATGAGAAATAAGCTTGTCACTGAATGAAATAAACCTTTCTATGAATTGATTTTCTGTTAAATAAACTTGTGATACGATTGTCGGTGAATGATAAGGATCCCGAGACATTGTATGTCCGATAAACTAATCGGAAAAGCTGTGATGCAATCCAAGAAGATGAAACTCTTCAAGAGGCTCAAACTAATTCTTGAAATCTAATGGGTTTTTGCAGAACTTTTTTAAGTATTTCCTACTTAAACATATGTGAGGTTTAGAAGATTTTGAAAAAAGCTTTATTATATTGTTCTGAAATTATCGTGTCCAGCTATTTCTAGCATTTGAAATAGCATTAACGATATCACAATTATGTAAGTAAATTTGACTTTTTTTTTTTATTCTACAAGCATAATTAAGAAATCTTTGTCGAATTTAGATGTATGGTTAGTAGTTGTGATATTATTAGCGGCGATTTTAATTGCTTTAGATGCTAGAAATAGCTGGACACTCTGCCCGAAATCTACAAATTATGTAGTCTTACAGTTTTAAATTTAATTTTTTAACAATATGTTTATTATTAATAATTGATAAAAAAATCCTAACAGGTTCGATCAGAGAATATAAAACAGAAATGAAAACGACCTATGTGTATTTCTATTTTTTGATCTTTGATTTCTTCATGATATGTTTGACTTCCGCATTGATATCATTATATCAATTTCAAAATAAAATTCTACTTTAAGCCTTAAAGGGAATTAATCATGCGTATTTTTATTAATCATCTCTTTCAAAGTGTTATATAAAGTGATGCTATGAATTCTTTGATATTACGAAAAATCAATGTTGATTCAAAATTAAGAGTCGAAAGTAATTTTTTTTTCAAGGTTTAATCAAAGAAAATATCAAAAAAAAAAAAAAATCTGTCTAAAAAATTTCCCGATGAAACAACCTCTACAAGATGGTTTTACTCTTCAAGAATTAGTGCGCGAAACTTTATCGCGCATTAATTCAAAATATCTTACTCATAATTTAGGACGTTCAAAAGATGGTATGAGACTACTGGAAAGAGTTTGGCAAATGGAATTTTATAGAGCAATCTATAGCTGTTTACCTGATGAAATGCATGTTTCTCCGGATGTTGGAAGAATATTTGCTACAGATGGTGTGGTTGATTTTTATATTTCAGAACCTCAATGGGCCATTGAGCTTTTGATTGATGGTAAAGATATGAAGCGTCATCATGAACGATTTCAAGATGGTATATATTTATTTATTAAAGCATCTTTATTTAAAGAAAGAAACTTAATACATAAATTATATATATATATATATCTTTTTTTTGATAAAAACAGGAGGCAAATATTCTTCAATACCAATAAAATCATATATAATTCTTGATATTCGTGAAACTAAAACAGTTGTGAAGGCATATCCGAATACTTGGCATATAACACCCAATGCCGATTTTACTACATTTAACATACAAGATGGTTCAAATTCTTTTGACATAACGACTCGCGATGGATATCCTTATAGTTCAAGTCTTCGAATCTCAGCACAAGAAGATGAAGCTAAGAAATTTGAAATGAGTAATTTAAAAAGAAGACGTAACAATAATGGTGACATAAAAGAGGAAAGGCAAAAACGGAAAAAGATACATGATGTAGTGGAAGACCTAGAAAAGCTAGTGAATTCTTTAACCAAACGTGAAAAATACTTGAGAGAAAGATGTGCATTTAAAGAAGCAGATGAAGTTCGGCAAAAATTAGATAGAGCATCAAATGATTTAGCAAAAATATTATACAATGTGATGGGGAATTTACATTGGAACCATGACAGAGATTCTTCCTCACAGATTTCTGGGGGTTCAATCAAACAAAAAATTAGAGACTGTGATTCTTCTGAATCAAGAAAATGTATTATTCTATAGTTTTGAATCTATTTTTTTTTAATAATTTGGCATTATATATATATATTGCGTCATTGCATTTTTAATCGGCAAAATTGTTCGTACGTTTCTTTAAATAAAATTCATACTAAAAAATTTAATTTCGCTTATCATACAAACTTTGCGCATGGTGGACAACCGTGGTAGTACAAGCTTTCCAAACTTGAAATTTGTGACTCAGGACCGATCTGTCCAATAAAAGTATGAGGAAGATCGATCACATGAAATTAAGCAATTGGTCAATCTTCCTCAGCGCAGAAGCTACGGACAGTTCTTAGGACAGTTCAGTGGCCAGAATTAGGGTTAGGGTTAGAGTTAGGGTAGGTAGATTTGGTTAATGTTAGTCAGCATGCACTGTCTGTAGACTCGGCGTTTCCCTAGTATTGCCTGAAAATGTTGCAGTTACATGAGAATCGAAAAATTCTTTAAAGTTTATTAGGTTAGGTAGTGATTGGACCCGTCAAAAAAAATGCCACCCGGGTCACCCGCGGGTGGACCTATGACCCACCCGGGTAGAACCCGGGTGGGTTAAAAAA